AATCATAATAATTACCATAATTTCCTAATCGTTACGATATTTATATTACTTTTTTTAATCACAATAATTGCCATAATTTCTTAATCGTACGATATTTATATTACTTTTTTTAATCATAATAATTACCATAATTTCTTAATCGTTACGATATTTATATTACTTTTTTTAATCACAATAATTACCATAATTTCTTAATCGTTACGATATTTATATTACTTTTTTTCTTTGTTGTTTACCTGTTGAATATAATTTATAAAATTCAACAAATAATATTGGAAAATTTTCAGGACATATTTATGGCTAGGTTGTCCATATGGATGTAATGATGGCTTACGATCACAGCAAAGTGATTTTTTGAGAATTAAGGCACGAACCATTCTTGCAACCATTTCTTATACTAATCCGGAAATTTTCCGTAATTTATTGATTAACCATATTGAAGAGTATAATGCACAAATGCTAATTGATACATTACATTCGGTAACAGGTTTTTGTAGATGTGGCGTAACCGGTAAGCATTTTTTCCGGTTGTTATATTAAAACTGCTTATTAAAAATTATCCCTATTTAATTAGTGCAAAACAATTTACTTGCTTAACTATATAAGTATAGACTATCCCTATGTAATTAGTGCAAAACAATTTACTTAACTATATAAGTATAGACTAAGTATTCCATGTTTGATGCTATATATAACCTTCTGATTTAATCTTGACATGAATGATATGAATGTTGACATGAATACTTCGTTGTATTTTATTATGTTATTATTTATGATTACTCAAACTATACTCCTTACTTATCCTAAAATTCATCATGGAATAATGCTGTAAAATTTACACCTCTATATTTCTTTTTCAAAAAAAAAATTCCGATTTTTAATATTATTAAAATTTTTGAAAATAAATTTTCTTTTCGAAAAAAAAAAACGAACATTCTTTTCTAAAAAAAAAATTATTAATTTCGAATAATTTTCAATTTATTTTGAAAAAAAAGCGAACATTCTTTTCTAAAAAAATTATTAGTTTTGAATAATTTTCATTTAAAGATAATTTTTAATTTACAGCTGGAATTCATCGTACACGAAGTAGCTCATCACCACATCATCGAACTACAGTATCCGATTCTTCCAAACCATCATATGAAAATAATTTTAATGAAAGTTTAAAAGGAATTGAAGGAATAGTTATTAAAGTTATACTTAAACCAGTAGTATCAAAATTGATGAATGCAATGAATGAACTTTTACAACCTGAAAATATGGTTAGCTGTTAAATTTATAAAATGTAAATTTCTTTGATAAAATTTTAATTCTACCAATTTTTAAAAAATTAAAATTATTTTGTTTTTTTTTCATTCTTGTCATTTCATATTTGAAAAAGTTAAAGTTTATTTTATTTACATTTCACTAAAATATCTATAATTTTGCAAACGATAAATGTTAAAATTGTAATATTTAGCTCTTAAATCAAATTAAAATTCATTATATAATATTTTTTTTTGTGTGTGTCCTGTTTTATCATTTACCAATATTTTCCGATCCTGTTTTATCCTGATAAATTTCAGAGTTTATATCAAGATGTACGACTATTTGTAGCATTTATTCAAGAACAACATGGTAATTCATTTCGACGTGTAGGTTTGAGTGCTTTATTAGATGGACGACCATCCGAAAATCAAAGTCAATTTCTTGATGTGTAAGTTGTAAAATTTTGATATTTTAAAAATTAAACTTAAAATAAAAATTTATTATCAATAAGATATCATTAAATTAAATGTTAAAAAAAAAGAAAAAAAACAGAAACAAACAATTCATTGTTTTTTTTTAGCGGTACGTCACAGCTGTATTCTTCCCGTCGCACATCCTTACTGTGTCCACTCCCTGAAATCTTTCTATCCGAACGAAAATTCGCAAACAACGATGACAACGAGTAAATTATAAGTGTAATATTATACTGCACTTCTTTAGTGTCCTTTCAACATTTTTTTCACTCTCTTCTCCTAAATATTTACTGACTAATTAAACTAATTGATCTAATTTCTAAATTTCTCATATCAATTTATTCTTTGGGTCTTTAAATTTTAGCCTCTTCAATAACATTATTGTAGACTTATTTTAGAATTAATTAAAATTATTCCAATACTGCAATTAATTTGTCATAGTTAATTTATCAATCATTTGCAAACAATGTAGTTTTTTTGTTTAATTCATAATAAACCGGATTATCTCAGGTTATTATCCAACTATCCTGATATAGTATTTGTGAATTGTTATGATAGCATCACTACTAATATTATCATAAATTTCCTGTAAACTATAAATCATCATTTTTTTATATTTCATCAATGATTAGTAACAATATCATTTCTAATTTGTTCAAAAAATTCTTTGCCATTTTCATCTATTATTTTTTACCCAGTTTATTCCCAGATATCTCAATAAAGCCAAATTTACCATCGGGATTATCTAGTTAACTTCCAGATACCATCCGGATTATCTAGTTTAACTTCCAGATACTATCCGGATTATCTAGTTTAACTTCCAGATACTATCCGGATTATCTAGTTTAACTTCCAGATACCATCCGAATTATCTAGTTTAACTTCCAGATACCATCCGGATTATCTGGTTTAACTTCCAGATACCAACCGGATTATCTAGTTTAACTTCCAGTTCCAGATATTTCTTTAAAATTTCATTTTCAATAATGTGAAAAAAAAAGAAAAGCGATATTTAAATTAGACAATTTTTAAACTTCATTATTTCATCAATTCTAATGGACATTATATTTCATTTTTAAATGAAATTTGATATTTTAAATAATTTGTTCATTTCATTGAAATATCTGTTAGATTTCCAATTTCCTGAAAATATGACAAGAGAAAGGACACTAAGAAAGGATGGCATGTTTCTCATTGCTTGTTTAGTTTAGTCATTTGCGCACACATACATATACATGCACATACACATGCATGCATATACATATACATGCACATATACATACATACACATACTCATAAACATGCAAGAATATTTAAATTAATTCCAAAACTCACATACCTGCATGTTTTACGTGCCGCAAAAAAAAAAAAAAAACTTTTTCTTTTTTTTTTCCGTATATTTTTCTTTTATTTGAATGGAATGCATACCTTTGATAGTAACATTAAAATATTTTTGTAAAATTTCAACTAATTAACACTAAAAAAAATTTGCTTAATTTTGTTGATTGTCACTTCGTCAACCAATAATGACACTTTGAATTTTTTGTAAAATTAATTAAAATTAATTATACTACTTAATTTGCATTACTTTTCTTTATTTGTTTTATTTAAAAGCACTATAATTTTGATGTAATTAATGGCAATGCTAATAATACTAAATTATTCTATCATTGATAGTTTGCGAAAGTAATTAATGCTAATTAATTTCATCAATGACAAATAGTAATAATAAAAGCAATAATAGTAATCGATAATATTTAAAAAATTTTAAACCCTAAATATTACAGTTAGAAATAAACTATGGATAAAATCTGTTTAAAAAAAAAAAATGAGTCCAATTTGATTAATTAGCTAAAGACAAATAAAAACAAACATTTAGCATTATTAGAATAAGTATTAATTTAGTAAATGAAATTAAAAATTAAGTAAAAAATCATTAAAAGAAAAAAAAGAAAAATGATGAACAGTTTCTTTTTGTTTTTTTTTGCATGTAAAAATTATTTGAATTTATGATCTTCTATATTGGAAATTATTGGTACTATTAATTTAGGATGTTAATATTAGTGAATTTTATTATTATTATTATCACTAATGCAAATTTGTTAGTAATACAAGAATTGCAATATTTTTGTTTAGCCGAATTTTGTAAAATTTTGAAATTTTATAGTTTAGTAATTTCATATCTT